AGTAAAAATGAGCGAAGAAAATTGTTTCATATTTGTTTCTATTGATGGTATTTTTCATTGCGATTGGTTATCTGGGATCCAACTATCTCAGCTGCCTAGTCATTCAGATGGAATGAAGAAACTAAGGTCCGGTGTATATATTGGAATGCTCATAAAATATTCCTTGGCAGTTAGAATTCGATATAAGAATAGGCCATAGTGACGCTGCCCAGGCAAAATTTCCCTTATAGCACACTGTATGGTGTATGCCCGTCTTCATTAGCCCAGTTCAGAGCAGAACAGTAGGACGTTAAACCCAGTTTCATTTAATATTTAATTTGTATCTCTATCAACAATATGTTAAAATTTACTAAAAATTTAATAATGAATTAAAATTTAATAACATCATTCCACCAAATAAAATGAGCGAAGAAAATATTCCCCCAACCCACCCATCTGAACTTCCCAGAAAATTCCCTCCTGGAAATATGACGGGAAAATGTCCCTCCCATTCCAACTTTAATTTTATTATGAGTACAGAACAAAACAGGCCTGTGTGATACATACTGGTTTATCATAAGCTGACTTTGTGACAAAGCAAGAATATATTTTTGACATCCATGTCTCTTGTTTTGGACATGTTGTCATCTTTGTACCTTAATTGTTACTGATTCTATTTGGTCTGCTTCTAATTTGATTCATCATAATCTGAAGGTTCTTTCAACCAGAGAAATGAAAACAATAAGCACCCAGGCTGACATTGGAAACATTAGGTGATAAAAGGAGACTTTTTCATACCCTGGCAAAATACAAATAATTAGACTCATACATCAAAGCCCATGTGCACACAGTGAAATGTGACCCCCAATATAGAAGAAACATCTATCCTGTGGTGACTTTGCTATTGGCCACTGGACCCAAGGGTTTTGAATCCAGGTCCAAGGAGTGAGGGATATTTTACATCAAGCAGGGTATGCTTACTCTTTCTGGAACATTTTTCTTAGCTATTTGAGAGTTTTACAAAATGAAATTAAATGGGGTTTAACGTCCAACTCTTCTGCTCTTAAACTGGACTAATGAAGACTTGCACTATGGCCTACTCTTATATCGAATTCCAACTGCCAAGGGATCTTTAACGATCATGCCAATATAAACATGAGACTTCGGTTTTTTCGTCCTGCGCCACTGACAAGGGAAAACCTTGTCAGGAAAATTCTGATGTACTTTCTCAGCCAATGCTGGTATCAAACACCCGACCTCCAGGCTAGCGAGCCAGTGCCTAACCCACTTAGCCACCATGGCTCCTGGAGAGTTTTACATATCTGATAGAATTTGTTGTACTTTCGTTTTCAGTTATTTTCTGATTGTACTTTCGTTTTCAGTTATTTTCTGATTGTACTTTCGTGTATCAGTTGTTTTCTTTTATTGTACTTTCGCTATTTTCTGATTGTACTTTCGTGTGCAACTCCAGGTATCAGTTATTTTTCTGATTGTACTTTCGTGTGCAACTCCAGGTATCAGTAATTTTTCTGATTGTACTTTCGTGCATCAGTTTTTTTTTCTGATTGTGCAAATCAAGGTATCAGTTATTTTTCCGATCTATCTATAAGTATAACAGAATTGAGTGCTTGAATCAAAGTTGTATTTCTCTAGTCAAAACAGATAAGACAGTACTAAGTATATGTACTAAGTACAGATAAGATAGGAATGAAGTGGATATGTAACTTGCTTATTTAGGTGTATATAACATACATATCTCTCTCTTAATTAAAATATGAACAATGTTTATTCATCTGGTTGTACTTAAGGCAAAATTAACTTATGTTTTCTTGGAAGATTTCGTAACCCCTTCATGAGTAAGGGTGTCAATTTGAGCTTCTTTTATTAAGAGTTACACAGCTGGTTTCAATAAAACAGGCCACACACTTAATTGTGAGAAAAAAAGAATCTCAAGGACAAAACATTTTATGATCACAATTTTTGACAATTTAGGATAATGTAAATTATTATGGGTGGGAGATTTGGAAGAATCTTTGAAATAGATCCTACAAAAATAAAATTGATTGCAAGTTTGCACCAAAAATATTTCGTCTTCTTCCATGTGTTTTTCTTTTCTTTCGACAAGTTCAACTCATGAGAGGCATGTTTTTAAATGTGGTCATCTGTTTGTCGTTTGCGTTAAGAGCTATTATATACATGTAGTTTTAAAATTAATGTGGGTTTGATTTCAACATTTTTATTTTCTCCTCCGTAGTGTGATATTAAAAAATCTTGTTAGTACTTTTTACGTTGTATTTATTTATTTTTTTTCTGAAATTTAAATTGGTTGTCTATACTGTTAATCATAAGAAATGAAATGAATTGGGGTTTAACGTCCTACTGTTCTGCTCCTAAACTGGGCTAATGAAGATGGGCATACGCCATACAGTGTGCTATGAGGGAAATTTTGCCCGGGTGGCGGCGCTACGACCTACTCTTATATCGACTTCCAACTGCCATGGGATCTTTTACCTGCACCCCAATATGTACACGGGACCTCGGTTTTCGTCACATACGAACGACTAGACAGCTGTCCTTGTCAGGCCTTCCGTCCGTTAATCATAAGAAGAACTCTAATTAGACGGTTGGATGGTTAGCGCTTGTGCATTGTATCACAAGGTCTGTCATTCAGTCAACTGACATGGTTTCGATTCCCCGGTTGTACGTGACAAGGAGTAGGGTCATCTGTTCAGCCTTATGAGTTTTATCTTGGTCCTCTGGTTTCCTCCCACTGCTAAAGACCCCTACGCACAAGCAAATTATTGAAATAAAATTGAATCATGTGTTAGTCCCAAAATGACCTAGTTTGTGTCGAGTGGACATTAAACCCCATTTCTCCCTCTCCCCATTTTCAGCAAATTTTAATAATTTAAGTTTCAGAACTATTCTCAGTGGGAACTTCAATTATGCTCATAGGTACTTGGACAACTTTTTTGCCAGTTGGCATATGTTTCATTGCCCTGCAATCTGTATTTGGTCATTCATTTGCTAGTAGTAAAATGCCATATTATAGTAATTTCAGTATGAAACAGGAGACACAACCTTCATCAATGCTAATGTAGTTCTGAAACTTGTTTTGATAATGTTACAAAAGACATTGTATAGAAGACATCTTCAGCTCTCAGATCTTCAGTATGTTCAAAACAGTTGAATATTTTCTTAAATTTCTTTCCTTTTCCACTTGAAGTGTATAACTGAATTGTTTGAGCATCACTCTAGAATTTAAATTTATTTGAAAGTGTTTTGTATGAAGTCTTCCTTTTTAGATTTCCTAAAATAATTTTGTTACAATTAATAGCACAATATTTGAGACTATAAGCCCAAATTAGATTTACCAATAACGCATATTTGTCCAAATTTATTAAAATCAATCAATAACGTAAGGTATGGCAAACTATTGATTCACATGTCTTTTATTGTCACTGGGGGTGGGGGTGGATGGGTGGATGTCTGAATGGTTAGCTCATGCATGTTGTATCATATGGTCTGTCATTGAGTCAACTGGCATGGTTTTGATTCCCCGGTTGTACGTGACAAGGAGTAATGTTGGGTCGCTTGTTCAACCTTGTGGGTTTTCTCTGGGTCATTTTGGGACTAACATATGGTTCAAATTTCTTTCAATAATTTATTTGCATGTAGGGAGGGGTCTTTAGCAATGGGAGAAAACCAGAGGACCTAAGAAAACCCACAAGGCAACCCTACTCTTTGTCATGTACAAGTGGGGAATTGAAACCACATCACTTAACTCAATGACAGACCATGTGATTTCATGTGCAACCTGTTAAACTTAATAGAAATTATAACTGCCTTTTGGTTCCTGGACGACTTGAAATCTTCAATTTTGACAGGACTACTCTATAGCACATGATCTTGATAACGCCAGCTAAAAAAATTAAAAAAATACCTGTAATTAAGGTTACCTGACCCAGGTATTTTTGGAGGAGGTCTAAGTCCTACATGTTGCTCTTACATAATCTAGAGAACATGACATCATTTCTACCTGCACCAAGTCAGCTTTCTGTCTGACAGATTTAATTTTGTTTAGACTAATTTAAGTTAATGGAGTGAAAAAGAAAAGAATTTAATAAGAAATTGTGAATAAATAATTACCATATGTAATTTTACTGGTGTATATAAAAACATACCTTAATCAAATCATTTATATACGTACATATCTTATAAACATGTCAGATTTTAATAAAAGGGATAAATTGATTAAGGTTGATAGCAAATATAGGTTTCTCTGATACGCCAGTTACCTTTTTCATAAACTAGTTTTGTTATAAAGTTCATTGCAATTATCTGTAACTGAGAATTCAACCGGAGCGGTGGACCCGGCATTTCAAATTAGCCTTGTCTATTTCAAAATCTGTAACAAAGTGGATTTTAAATTTATGTTGGCATTATATTTTAGGAGAATTTGGGGCTGTAAGGAGTACAAAATCTTGTTTCAATGGGGGTGGGGTGGGGTTGGATGGTTAGCGCGTGTGCGTTGTATCATAAGGTCTGTCATTGTGTCAAATGACGTGGTTTTGGTTCTCTGGTTGTACGTGACAAGGAGTAGGGTCGCCTGTCCAACCTCGTGCGTTTTCTCCAGGTCCTCCAGTTTCCTCCCACTGCTAAAGACTCCTACACGCAAGCAAATTATTGACATAAAATTAAACCAAATGTTAGTCCCGAAATGACCTAGTTTGTGTTGAGTGGACGTTAAACCCCATTTCTCTCTCTCTCTCTGTGTTTCAATGGAAGTTGGTTTATTTGTGCCCCATGTGTGGTGCAGTCCTTCTGCACTTAATATTCAAAAATAATGATGCACATTCTTAAGAGATAACGCAGGACGACTACAAGTCAAAAAATACAAGATACAAATTCCCAGAGAAGATAACAATTCACTTTGTAAATATTTCCCTTATTTATATCTATACAAGTTGTTATTGATATGATTTGATCATATGATTAATTATAATGTTTATTTGTTTCAGGTCATGTAAGGAACGTATTAAGAAAGTTAACCCACTTATTGGCACCGACATCAGACAAGGTAAGATATATACTATTAATCCATCTGAACTAATCAAACAAGGTATGATATATATGGTTAATCCATCCGATCTAATCACATGTACTAGTAATCACATGGATTTAGGGTGATATAATAAATATTGCATGGCTAGACTATTGGATAATAGACGTCAGTCAGTTTGTTTGTATATCTTACATGTTGAAATCAAATTAAATGATTCAGAACTTATGTTGCATTTAACAACACTGAAATTAATCGTGGTTTCGATTCCGCAGTTGTACGTGACAAGGAGTAGGGTCGCCTGTCCAACCTTGTGGGTTTTCTCTAGGTCCTCCAGTTTCCTCCCACTGCTAAAGACCCCTGTGCGCAAGCGAATTATTGAAATGAAAAGATTAAACCATATGTTAGTCACGAAATGACCTAGTTTGTGTCGAATGGACGTTAAACCCCATTTCTCTCTCTCTCTCTCTCTCTTCTTATCTAGACATAATGCCGACCTCTCCCTCCCCGTTTTTTTTGGAACAACTAGATTCTGACTCAGCTGGGAAAATACTGATAGGTTTCAACATGTACAGGATATAATTTGAAATAACAATTTTCATTCCAATCAAATATGTTGCATGCTGTCTTATATCGTGCATGGAATTTTATCCATATTTTCCTATAAATTGCCAATTTCACAATAAGAAAACTTGGAATTAAGAGATATTATGACTTTGGGTTCAGGAAACTGATTCCAAGAAAGAAGAAATGTCATTAAGTCCACACTACAACCGATTCATAATTAGGTGATTACGATCTCAGTTTTTTATAACTGTGTTGGGTGAAAGGTTGCTCTCAAATTACCAGCAGATTGACAACTAAATCAATATATGAAATAAAATATGAATTGGTAGCGATCAAAGTTTGGGCATTTCATGAATATAATATACTCAAGCGGAAATAGTCTTTAATTTACTAAGATTTATTTATGCTGGTAACTCATAAAAATGCCTTTTTATTGTTTTTTGATTATTTTGGTGGCGACATTAGCATATTTTTCACATGCGGATATTTGATGGGGTGGATATAAAATACCAGCATGGTTCCAATGTTTTCAATCATTAACGCCATGGAGAATCCTCTCTGTTTATTACGCTAGTTATTAAACGCATTCTGCATGCGAGCGTTTACAAATTAAGTACCAATGCACATCAGATTAACGTGCAGAAACCATGCAGATCAAAAGACACTTGGTATTGTACATTTGTTTCGAGCACAGACACCCGTAAAGATCAAATACTGAAATAGATTCGGCAAAAAAAAAAAAAAATATTCAGAAGACATGATCTTTATGTTGTATTTGTTACAGATACTTTTTTTCCGATTGTCTTGATTAAGAACATGGTTTAAAAGTAAAAGCTTGGCTAAGATTCATTGCCTAAATAAACAAACATGACTGAAAATGTAACCTAAATAATTCACTTTATTTTCTGCAAAGCAATTATCAACTCGCAAACGGTAATTTTTATACATTGCTTCTAAATATACATTATCTGGTATAAGATTAGACAACATCGCAAAAAAGTGATGACAATATTTAATGGAGAGTTTTAAATAAGTACACATTGTTTGCCAGTTAGTTATAAAAACAGAATAATTTCGATAGTACATAGTTTTCACTCCCAGTAACAGCGGTATCAATTATTTGTGCTAATAATAAGTATAAAGGTTGAAAATGTTAGTAATCCTTATGTTTTTCAGAGATAAGTCTTGATATATAGCTATTTATTATACAATTAATCACTAATTTATTTGTTAAGGTGAACAAAATTTCAAACATAGATATGAAAATGTCTTCTTTAAAATGTAATAAATCAAGGATGGAAACAGAAAATCTTGACGTGGGGTTGGATGGCCGAATGGTTAGCATGTGCGCACTGTATCATAAGGTCTGTCATTGAGTCAACTGGCATGGTTTCGATTCTCCGGTTGTATTGAGTAGGGTCGCCTGTCTAACCTCGTTGGTTTTCTCTGGGTCTTCCGGTTTCCTCCCATAAGAAAATTATTTAAATAAAATTGAACCATGTGTTACACAGTTAGTGTAACGGTCGTGTGATTTATCCTTTATCATCTGATGGTGGGATAGGATGGGATGGGATGGGCATTCAAAGCACGAAATAATGATATGTGTGATATCACAATGTGATCGTATTAATTCATTATTAAAATTGACATCAAACAGGGTGTTGGATCTCTCTCTTTAAAAAGCTCAATGTGTATGCCTACGTAATTTAGAGACGATGATGGCATCATGCATTGTCAACTGTCAAACTTCCTTAACAGGAGCCTGGCTAACCCCCTCTTGGAAAAATTCCTGGATCCGCCCCTGATTGTATAAAATGAAATGAAATGGGGTTTAAGGTCCTACAAAAGTATTGTATAACATTTGATGAGTTTCTTAGAAAATTAAAAAACGGTAAGCTTATAGCTTCTCTTAAGTTCTTGATTCTTGGAAACTTTAAGAGACAGGTTAAACATCTACTGCTTTGTTTTGAAGTGTGTTTAGAAGCATTGATCTATTTGGATTAATTATACGGACATTGAAGCTGATACCCTGAATCTTTTGTTGGTAAACCATTGAATAATCCTTGTTTGAGATTAAATTTCAAGTCATAAATTGCTATTACTTAATTTAATTAATTTTCCTGCAAGATGCTTAACTTTTTTGGACTTGGATCTAGTTCTAATTTAACATCATAAATCAGTAATGGAACAAACAAAAAAAAAAACGAACTGAATGATGTAAGTGACCAATTTTATCCATGGGAAAACTATGTTGCAGACAGCAACAGGAAAGTCAATTTATCTTGTGCATTATTTGCCAACCTACGTGCAAACACTCGTGTTTTTTTAATAGGAAAAACTAGTTTCTCATTGGCGAGAGGGTGTGCTACTGTTATTGCTATTAACATTTAATGGAATAGTATTAGATGTATCCCGTAGTATGTAATAATCGTTGACTTTTGATTCGTGGGAAATTGATTAGGCTGTGTTTTAACACTTCCCTGGTGTATTGTAAATCATAATAAAACTTGGTTACCTGAACTCACACTTAATGAAGTCACAGTGCCATATATATATATATATTGCTTTTGTGAGTATCCTCCCCACAGGAGATATGATCCATTGACTTCCCACACCATCAAAGAATGTTTTATTACTTTTGTTACATAAAACTTTTATTATGTCTGTTTTATTAAATCATTACGCTTTATCAAAAGTAATATGTTTTCTTTTTGTACTGGGATAAAATTGATCTTTATGCATGTTTATGGAAATTCATAATAGATCTTGTATTGCTTGATTTGATACTTATAGTTGATGTAATGGTTATAAATTTTGACAATAAAGGATATGCAATTAATTTAGAAAAAGTTTTAAGTCTGAAAAGAATGGATCTGTTGGGATGAAACAAACTTTTCAGCCAACAAATACAATCATTGAATGCATCATAGACCTAAGAACTGCAACTGTAGTGTTATTATTGTCTTCTTACCAGACCATCTTGTGAACCTACCCATTGAAATCACTAGAAATGGATAAAACAGACTATAGGGCAGTCATCAAGTTAATATGGTCTCCACTTCAGGGGATGATACCCCTTCCTTTTCCATATTAAAGAAGTGGGCTGCAGAACTTTTCAGCCAGCCTCATACTTTGATATGCATTCCATTTATTTTTGTTATCAATTTTGAAAACTAATACAATGGTTATGTTTTTGATGTATTATGGAGGATATATCAGAAAAGATTAAATACAAAACTAAGGCATGGTTTTGATTCCGACTTATATGTGACAAGGAGTAGTGGATATTCTCTGGGTCCTCTAGTTCCCCCCCCCCCCCACCCCACTGCTAACGATCCCTACATGCAAGCAAATTATTGAAATAAAATTATACGATTTGTGAGTCCGTAAAATACCCTGGTTTGGTTTGTGTGGAGTGGATGTTAAACAATAGTTTCTCTCTATTTTTTTCAATTCTTTCCTCCCCACAACAAAACTAAGTATATCTATTATTCAATCTGATTAAAACACAGGTCCTATTTCGTTTCGTTCTTTTATAGTTCAAAATTTCGTTTTATTTGTCTTTACTACACTAGGATCTGAAAGAATTGATATCATTGACGTGTTCTGGATGGGGTTAGGGATTAGCCAATGAAACGGTCTGTTCTTGGCATGGCGAGTTCTTGGCATGCAATGCATGGAACTGTGGGTAAATCACTAGAAACGTCAACACTGGTTGATTAATCAATGTCTGACATCATAGGGTCAAAAGCCGCTCACAGGACCCCTGACGCAACCTTCCAGTAAAACCAGTCAGATTTTCATGTAGTGGAGGCCATCAAAAGTATAAAAAAAAAAAAAAAAAATATAGATCTGTGTTTTAATCAGATTGATCTGTTTTGGTCATTTTATTTGTTAGAAGTAAAGAGCTTTGAATATACCCAAGTGAAACTATACTTTACGTAATGATTTTGCAGGAAAAAGCAGTATTTGTATTATTATTGGTATAGTTAAACACTTTACCACATTTTCACCAGCTATTTCAGCAGATTGTTATTGCAACTAAGAAAGCAATGAATAGAATAAGTGTATTCTGGGTCAGAATTCAAATTGATACATTTAACTAAGGAAACTCGAGTGTAGGAAGTAGGATACATTTCGAGAAAAACTACTACATCATTAAAAATATACTGTAAAATTGAAAATTGAGAATCGGTACAGTGGTATGAGTGTAGGTGGTATATATAGTGGTATTTATGGTACTTATGATATTCATATTGAAAGGGGTTATATGGTATGAGGTTATATGGTAAGGGTGTACTTATGGTACTTATGATATTCATTTAGAAAAGGGTTATATGGTAAGGGTGTACTTATGGTATTCATATAAATGAAATGGGGTTTAACGTCCTAGGTATTCATATAGAAAGGGATTATATGGTAAGGTTGTTATATACTATGGGGTTATATGG